TTGAAACAACTTGTATTTATTATTACATATTACTAAAATTAGAGTTGTTCAGGATATTAATATAGAAAGAGATGACATGTAAATATTGTTGATTATTATTAATGTACATTGACATTTTAAAAAATATTCGGGGAAATGGCAGTCCATGCCTTTTTGTTTATCTTTAAAAAAAAAAAAAATTCATTTATTTTCTTTGGATATGTTTAAATTGTTAAAACGTCTGCAGGATAGGGTTAAAATGATAGTCATTCTTTTTTCTTCTTTTTTTTTCCTATTTGTTTCGTTTATTGTCAAAACTCGTTTGTCCAGAGCCAGAAGGGCATTAACGCTGTGTTACAGTATGTGAGGCAGGCGCATACGCAGGGGGGGGGGGTCGGGGGGTTTAACCCCCCCCTTTGGTATTTTTATGTATTTAAACCCCCCTTTTTTAATAATAATTTTTAAAAAAAATTAAAAAAAATTATTCCCATGGCTGACCTAAAAAAGGTGACTTTACCCCCCCCCCCCCCCCCAACGGAGCAAAATGTCAATTTTTCAAATTTCGAGACCAAAAAAAAAAAAAAAAGTGTCCTCTTATTCAGCGGCTGGCTGAGTCGATGCGAAATTTTCGGCTTCGGCCCGATTTAAAAATGTTACACCCCCCCCCCCCCCCCCTTGAAAAGATCCTGCGTACGCGCCTGATGTGAGGTAATGCCCTTCTGGCTCCAACCAAAGTAACAAACGAGCTGCAAGATTCAACAACTCTTTGATTGCCCAGTTTATAACCAAGGATTTGTGAAGTACAAACTATGTAGGAGTAACGATGAAAATGGGATCTATATTCGCCATGTGGAAAGGTGACAGCCGAAAAATTTAATTTGGGATTAAAAATTCCCAAATTTATACAATTTGTTAACCTTTTAGTACTCCTTTTCTGTTCATTTTCAGTCAAAACATGAACTTATGAAAAGAAATTTGACCAATAGGTTTTGAATCACTTAATCGCACAGGAAGCAGATGAGGTGGTGTTTCCACTCAAACATTGCAGATATAAAAATGCTTTAGTTTTCATATGAATGTTCAAATGGAATGAGTCCTTTCTGACTCTCAACATAAGACATGACTTCGCTTTTTTTTCTTTCTTGTTGTTCATTCTATAGAGAAATGAAAGTAAGAACCACTGAAAGATAAATAATTTGTCAGTCGTCTGATCAGAATCATAATGCTATATTTAATCTGCATTTTCACCAGGACAGATGGTTGAACCATAATGCAATATAACTTGTGTGTGTGTGTATGTGGCAGTGGTGTGTGAATGTAGATGTGTATGTGTTTGCCATGTTTGTTGTAAAAATACAAAAGGTTTTGTCTTCATACTAGACTTGTATATATTATGTAACTAATCGAATGAGCATAATGTGTGCTATGTGATTATACAAATCTCTGATGCCATTTGAGAGAGATGTAATAAAGGTAGCAATCATACAATCTAGTTTCTGATGTCTTGTGCTTGTGTAAGGAAGCTTGTTCACTCATTTTGAAAATTCTGTGCAATGACGTTCATTTTTTTTAGATCGTAAAAAGATGAAGGCTATTTCTTCAATTTTCTTGTAATCTACATACGGAGGGATACCATGCGTGTTACATACATTTAGATTACTTCATTAATACTTTTTCATTTTGTATACACTTATGTTTTCGACCGTTATAGAAATTCTAGAAATTCATCATTATTTTCCTCTTCTTCCTCCTCCTCTTTTGCTTCTTCTCCTTCTTCTTTTTCTTCTTGTACTTATTATCATTTCTATCATCAGTTTAATGTTGTTAAATTATTATTATCTTTAATAAGTAATTCTTTTATTTTTCTTATCTGTCTGTACATATTACTATTTTATCTTATTAATTTTATACATGTCTGTAAGGGACCCCACTTGAAATAAGCTCTCGAGCTTTCGTGGGTTATCCTGTTCAAGCTGTCTTATTTTTTATCTGTTATTATTGTATATTGTTGTATGTTGGAAGCTTGTCGAATAAAAATCAATCAACCAATCAATCAAAATGTCCGGTAAAGGGGTACTTTTCACGCACCAAAGTCCGGCTCGTAGTACACAAAAATCCGGCCCGTATTGACTTTACACACCGGACTTAGGGGGGTGTTTCCCAAAGGAGGGAACATGCATATGCGTACCCTAAATAACACTGCATGAGTGGGGGGGGGGGGGGGGGTTCCTTATAAGTGTTCCTTTTATATAATCTACATGTATGTAAATTTGTTCAATTGTATTACATTCATGTTGGAAGAAAGACAAATAAACTTGAACTTGTACTTAAACTTGGTCAATATGTCACAGTTTGTCAAAGATAAGGGTAAATTATCATAAAGGACTGTTCAGACCTGAGTAAGGTTAATGATATTATATATGACGTTTCAATAAAAGGTATATGTATGTGATTTTTTGTAATGTATGTGATGGTGGTGTATGTTAGTATCTCAATGGATGGATGGTTGTACCTTCAGTTAAAAATCTTGTTATCAAATCATTATTGCTTATGTCTGATCAGCCCTTTAGTCAAAATCTAGATCAACTGAGTAACCACGGTAACAAGTACAGTTGTGCGACTTCCAGGAGAGAAAGAGAGATAGATAGAGAGAGAGAGAGAGAGGGGGGGGGGGGCGAAAGGGAAGGGGCAGAGACAGAATAAATAGAGAGGGAGAGTGGGAAGACAGAAAAAACAAGCTGTAGAAATATGTACTGGCATAGCGGTCTGACATATAAACCTTTAATAAACAAAACAAAAATGAATGAAAAGAGAGAGGTAAACAATGTGTTTACAAGTAGAGAGAGAGAGAGAGAGAGAGAGAGAGACAGGAGTAAAAAAAAGTGAGAGAGACGGAGAGTAAGGAACGGAGATATATATAAGAGCGAGAGAGAGAGGGGGAAGAGAGAGAATGAGAAGGAGAGAGGGGAGAGAGAGTGGAAGAGATAAAGAGAGGAAGGAAAAGAAAGAGAGAAGGGAACCTAGAGAGAAGGGAGACAGAGGAAGAACAATTTCTAGAAAAAGGTGTACAGGCATACTGGTATGGTAAAGACATACAAGAATATGAATTAAAAGAGAGAGGTTTACGTTATAACATTTAGAAGTTATTTTGTGACAAACGAAATAACGAGGCTGTCAGGAGCTGTTCATGGAGTGATGGTTAACTATATTTAGATTTCAAACCAATAAATGATAAAGATATAATTCTTTGCTTCAATTTAAAAAGTAAAAGAGTTAATCACATCGAAAACCTTCACATGAAAAAGAATGTTACGTGTACATTACATAATTATGATAATTTTTCATTTAGGATGCAAGCTTTAAAAAGTTAGGCAAGCATACAAAAGAAGAAACCATTCCCAAACATGAACAAATGAAAGCAAGCAATGCATTATATTTCATTGTGTACTATCACATGGGTGAATTCAAACAAATTTGATACTGTTTTATCCGAAAAGAAAATCATGCGTTCAGGCAATCATTCTTTATACCGCTATCCTTCCAATCCTTTGTTTGCAAAATTAAACTCTACTCGGATAAGATAGATATTCTACAAATACAGATTTTCATATTCTGCTTACAAAATGATACTGCCTTCGTACATGTTAAATGTAAAATCTGAATAAAACTATCATTGCTTTCCTACATGACAAGCTAAAACAAATAACTGTACCCTTAACCTATGATGTAAATAATGTACTTCGGTTTTACATATTGTATATATGCGAAAGATTATCACTTTTAGATCGAACGATAATATACACATATTTTAATATAATGAAAGAAAGGGCTTTTTTACAACTATCATTAACAATGGTAATAATCACACTTTTAATGATAATATTCAAACAAGTGAAATTAAACACTAATATACACAAATCCTATGAAAAGAAATGGCTATGCTATACTATCTAACGGATATTAATGTTAAGCACGAAGCAGTATACACATTGAATAAACAGCTGTATAATTTCGTATTTATTTTAGAAACAGCAATTATCTCTTTACCAGATAATAGTTTGGGCTAAACATTAAGACACACACTAATAACAAAACCTTCATTTGGAACAGGTGGTTGTTTCAGGCTGTCCCTTTGATCATGGATATGGATCTTTGTAAATAAATCTGCCTATTTTATTTGAGCGACTAAACAAATATTTACCTAGTAGTCAGGTAAAACAAACAATCAAACACACAAAGAAGTTCGTTATTTTACTCCAACTTATAACACTACATTTTCATGTACTATGCAAATTACACATTGAATAATAACACTATAAAATCTCTGATACAATGATATTACGTATTTAACTACACTGTATATATATATATGTATGTATAACAAATAAGAACATGTGAAATCATGTTAGAGAAAACCATAATAAGACAACTTTTCTAAACGTAAGCAATTACACTTCATTACATTTACGCTACAAAATAATGACCAATTACAATTACTCCAACTTATAAAACTACAATTGTATCTACTATGCAACTTACACATTGAGTAATAACACTAAAACATCTCTGATACAATGATATTTAATTTTAACCAGCGCAGAGGAAGTTAAAATAGTTTATTGACAGCTACCTGGTACAAAGTTTATTTTGGGGGGAGAGGAGGCTATGAATGTAATCCGATGACGCAATAAACCTTGGGCGGGGAAGAAACCAGTCGCCGTAATGTAAACATGCGGTCAGCTCTCAACTTTCCTCCTCTTTCCTCTCCCCAATTTGGACGATAATACCTCATTCAGTCCATGGTATTTCGAAGTTGTCACACTTAACAAATTTTTACTCTTCCTTCGTGGTTTTTTGCTCAATATTCGCCCACGTTAGCAGTCAGTTCAAGTTTTTACGTAATATCGTCGAATATAGTTGAACTACTGTGCTTCTGACTTTAATAAGTTTCAGCTCCTGATTGACATTCTTACCTATTTTTCACGTTGCCTCATTTGAGTTAAACAATACGTCGAGGTTTACAAGCGTGTTAGTAGACTTCATTTTGATACAAAACAATTTCTAAGATGCCTAAATCGACGAAGAAGACAAATCAGAGGGTGACATCAAAGGCTGCGACGAAGACAACAGCAAAGGCCAAGCCAAGGAAGAGGAGGGCATCGAAGGCTACGTCCCCTGCCCAATTCCCCCTGCCAGCTGCCAGTGCCAGCAACGACGATGCACTACCCGTCGTCCCCGCCCGTATCCAGGAGCCCACGATCAACGAAGAGCCCGGAGTGCAAGACGGCGGCGTCAACGGTGAGTCATGGCCAGAAATGGCAATTGACGATTTTGATACAAATCCCAGCATGTTTACCAATGAAGCGCTGGTTTCACCTGCGCCAGTGACGTCCACAGGGGTGCCAACTGCTTTTACTCCAGGGACAGGTTTTCCCGTCCCTGGACAGCCCCAAATGTTGGCTGGCGTAGGCGATGATCTCGGGTCATCAATTGCCGTCACATTGAAGGAAAAAATTTGGCGGGGGGAGTTCATTGACTTAGGCGCTTTATTATCGCCATCCATGTCCGATCCTTCCGTCGACGAGGGGTTAACTCTAATTTTTTCCCCCGCGAGCGCTAATTTTCAGCTGCGGGCGCCAAACCGAAAAACAGCCATTACAGGCATACCACAGTGGACTAGTGCCATGCTAGTTTTTGTTTCGGTTTATGCCGAACGACACACACGTCGGGTACGGGAACTGTTAAAGTATATCAGTATTGTGCGCACTGCCGCTAGCTGCGGCTATAATTGGTGCGACTACGATCTACAGTTCCGCCTGCGGCAAGCGCGGCAGCCGGAGCGTTCATGGGCCGTAGTAGACGCGGAGCTGTGGCTACTAGTCGCCACTGCCTACGCGCGGCCGGACACCAGGGAGAATTTTCGTCCCTCCAGCGGGAGGCAATCTCAATTTCGCGGAGCTCAACGGCCAAGACAGCAACTATCAGGCCCGCGCCGCAATGGGCGCTCAGCCCTTAATCGGGTCGGATACGGTAGCGCAACCGCGAGTCCGCGGGCCCAAGTTTGTTTCGCATTCAACGCCTCCGGCCGGTGCGGTAGGGGGCGAGGCTGCAGATATGCGCACAAATGCGATAGATGCGGAAATACATCCCATGGCTCCTTTGCCTGCAACCGCCCCCAACTTGCAGCTACCAAACCGAGCCCTAGCCCCAACCCCAATTAAGCTAAAGCCCATGCTACCCTTTCTTCATTCTTACACCAATCAGTCTGACGCAAAACGTCTAATTTCGGGATTTACGTACGGCTTTTCTCTGAGTTTTAAAGGCACCCGTGTACAAATGAGTTGTAAGAATCTCAAGTCTGCAATTCTTCATCATCAAATCATTATGCAAAAGATAGAAAAAGAGGTGCTACTTGGCAGAATCGTAGGCCCCTTTACTTCAATTCCATTTCCGAATTTTCGTTGTTCCCCCATCGGGGTTGTTCCAAAACGAACACCAGGCGAATTTCGATTAATACAACACTTATCCTCCCCTCGCGGCTCTTCTGTAAATGATAGCATAGATAAGGAGGAGTGCAACGTTTCTTACACTAGTTTCGACGAAGCGGTGTACATGATTGTTAAACTGGGTCTTAAGTCTTTTATGGGGAAAGCTGACATCAAGTCTGCCTTTAGATTACTGCCCGTGCATCCAGTTGATTTTGATTTGCTCGGTATGTGCATTGATGGAAAATTCTATTATGATAGGTGCATGCCCATGGGTTGCGCGATTTCGTGTGCAATGTTTGAGCGCTTTAGTTCCTTTCTCGAGGATTGTTGTCGGCGCATAGCTGTTACTGAACAAGTGCTGCATTACTTAGATGATTTCTTCTTTGCTGCTTCCTCATTCGAGGAATGCCAGCGCATCATGCTCTGCTTCCAAAATATGTGCAATGATTTCGGTGTGCCCTTAGCGCTGGAGAAAACCGAAGGCCCTACGAGAGTAATTACATATTTGGGTCTAGAGATTGATACAAGGCTATGTCAGGTAAAGGTTCCAGCTGATAAATTAGAAGCGCTACGTTGCATGATTCGCAGCTTTTCCACGAAGTCTAAGCTGACACTGCGCCAGCTACAATCGCTAATTGGGTCACTCAATTTTGTATGTAAGGCGGTTGGCCCAGGTAGGGCCTTTCTCAGGCGGCTGATAGACATGACTAGAGGGGTAAGTCTGCCCCATCATCGCATAAGGCTTACCAGTGGGGCTAAGGCTGACCTGGCAGCATGGGAAGCATTCTTAGAGCATTTTAATGGGACTGTTATGTTTGCTGACAATGTTTGGCGGGATAATAATTGCCTTCAATTCTATACAGACGCAGCGGCAAGCATTGGGCTAGGCATTTATTTCGAGGGATGCTGGGCTCAAGCTAAATGGCCGGAATACGTCAGGGAGGCTAATTTCTCCATTGCCGTTCTAGAACTGCTTCCCATAGTTGTAGGCGTTCACTTATGGGGAGATCGGTTAAATGGGAAGAGAGTAACTTTCTGGTCTGATAATCAATCGGTAGTTGCCGTCATTAACAAGCAATCGTCTAATTGCAAGATAATTATGCGGCTCATTCGCCACTTTGTAGTACTGTGTTTAAGGTGGAACATTTGGTTTAAGGCAATGTACGTTCCAGGCCATACCAATGAAATTGCCGATTCTCTGTCCCGCTTTCAGATGACCCGTTTTCGACATCTGGCCCCCAATGCCGAGCAACAAGGGACCCCCATTCCTACCCCTCTCTGGAGCAGCTTAGTCGGGAGCGTGCCGTCTTGTTAAGCTCTTCCAGAGCTCAGAACACTATGCGCACTTATCACACGGCATGGCAAACTTTTCAGCTGTTTCGGAGTAATTATAATTGTAATGCCTCTACTCCACCAACTATCGAGCAGGTTGCTCTTTTCATTTCTTACATGAGCTGGTCCAATTATTCAGCAAACACTATCTCTACATATATTTCAGCTCTGTCATTTCATGAGCGCAGTCATAATAGGGAAGATATAACTCAGAATTTTCCGATAAAGCGATTAGTTGAAGGCTGCCGTAGGCGTCATGCTCGCCTTGACGTGCGCTGCCCCATTACTATGCCCTTATTACATAAATTAATCGCAACACTGCCATTAGTATGCCAAACGTCCTATCATACTAAACTTTTCACTGCAACCTTTTTATTAGCGTTTTTCGGGTTTTTACGCATTGGTGAATTCACTTCTCAGGGTAGATCCATCCCCCTGTTGGAGGCGGACGTAATCGTCCGGGGGAATCCCCCACAGCGCAAAGTTAGTGTTAGAATTCGGTCTTCCAAAACGGATCAGCGGGGTAGGGGGTGCGTCATCCTGCTTCCGGAAAGTAGGTCATTGTGCCCCGTTAAAGCAATTGTTGGGTATTTGGAAGCCCGTCCTCAACCCGTTCCCACTCCCGGTATTGACCAGGGGTTTGCATTTTTTAGGCAATTTGATGGTTCTCCCCTAACCCGGCAAGCTTTCAACAGGGTGCTACATAGGAGTATTTCATTCTTAGGTTTACCAGCTCACTATTACACGGCCCATTCATTCCGAATAGGAGCTGCTACGTCCGCTGCTATGGCGGGCTTTTCAGACTCCCACATTCAAAAAATGGGGAGATGGGTATCTGGGGCATACCGGGGTTATATCAGACTACCGGCAGGTGAAGTTTGAAAACTTCGGGGTGTTATAATTAGTCAGTACGTTGTTTTTTCAGCTTAATTTTGTTACGTTTTGATTTAGACTGGTAGGGTGATGGGCGTCAGACCAAATCCAATGCATAATATACTAATAGTAACTAAATTTTGATTGCACTGAATTGGGGTGGTTTATTCCGAAGAATAACACACATTGCAAAAGTAATTTTGTTTATGGTAATGTTATGTAGAACATGTTACTGTCTGCGGGTTCTCCCTTTTCTCCATTATTTGAATCTGCAGAGTCTACAGATTTATCGAGCCAGACAAGGGATTCTACATCCATACGAGGCACCATCTGGGCCCTGGGGGATTTCATGGTGCAAGCGGCCGGTATCCATCTACCCGCCGACAGACATGAATTACCAGACAGAGACAGCGGGGTTAATAACAAGTTGCGCGGTCTTTACTTCGCCGATTTGGAGGACTGGTTGTTTCGCACCGTATGCACCTTTCTGGCAAGGGTACTTACTTCATTATTCATTTCGAACTTTTACGACGTGCTTTCTTGGGAATACAGACGTTCAATTCCTCCCTACTGATCTTCGAACATTCGTCAGTACAAGTTAATTTCGGATCTGTATTGATCTGAAGTAGGAATGATTGTACATAATGTTGTCTGTTACGTTTATAGTACCTTTCGCAATTATGCAAAGGATGAGAATTTTTCATACCATCCGATTTCGGTGTGGCGGCGATCCATGTCTGAGCAGCCACGTCTCGTGTGGCAGAAAATTTTATAATTTTGACCGCCAAACCGCGGAATTATCTTTAATTTGCACATGTCGAACATACCAGTTTGCAAGAGAACAGGCTTCGAGCCAATGATGGGAAATCTTAATGCAATTAGTATTGTTTGCACCCCGTTTACACTTGGTTTGTAGGCTGAGGAGGACCATTAAGGCCTTTGATTTAGTTATCCTCAGTGTAGGCAATAAAGTGTTTATGTGAACGCTACGTGTCTCAGGCCAGAGAACTGCGTTGATTTGGGATTATTTTATTATGTGAACGCTACGTGTCTCAGGCCAGAGAACTGCGTTGATTTGTTTTTATTATGTAACGCTACGTGTCTCAGGCCAGAGAACTGCGTTGATTTGTTTTTATTATGTGAACGCTACGTGTCTCAGGCCAGAGAACTGCGTTGATTTGGTTTTATTTTATTATGTGAACGCTACGTGTCTCAGGCCAGAGAACTGCGTTGATTTGTTTGATCTAAATTGGGGGCATTTTAATGCAATTAGTATTTACACCCCGTTTACACTTTGCTTGTAGCGGAGGATGACCATTAAGGCATTTGCTTAGTTATCCTCAGTTTTAGGCAATAAAGTGTTTATGCGAACGCTACGTGTCTCAGGCCAGAGAACTGCGTCGAGTTGTTTGTATTATTTGAACGCTACGTGTCTCGGGCCAGAGAACGGCTGTTCATTGTGAAGTTAACACACTATTTTAATTTGAATTATTTGTTATACCACAAGTCTAATGACGATGGAAAGTTTCTATATTACAACTAATAAATACCATGGCCAATTGCAAAACTAGTTGTCTATGTCCTTATTCTTTGTTCCAGGTGGATAGAACAATAATTAATTTTAACCAGCGCAGAGGAAGTTAAAATAGTTTATTGACAGCTACCTGGTACAAAGTTTATTTTGGGGGGAGAGGAGGCTATGAATGTAATCCGATGACGCAATAAACCTTGGGCGGGGAAGAAACCAGTCGCCGTAATGTAAACATGCGGTCAGCTCTCAACTTTCCTCCTCTTTCCTCTCCCCAATTTGGACGATAATACCTCATTCAGTCCATGGTATTTCGAAGTTGTCACACTTAACAAATTTTCCCCACCATCCATCCTCATACTCCACCAAAAGGGGTCAGTGGCTTTTCATGTTTACGATTATCATTACACAGTTAGTAGTGGGAATTTGACGACAATCCACTCTCTCAAGGGCTGTGCCTGGTCGCGTTCAAAATGATTACACGGGCCTTGCGGGGCTTTTTCCCGATCTTATTTCCCAGAACTCGAACTTTTCATTCGGTCTAATTTTGGTTATAACATCCTTTATTAAGAGTCTGGTTTTCGAGAGATCGGGTTTCACCCGCATTTGAGTTTTTAGTTGACAATGTCGTCAAATTCCTGCCTTCATGTATTTGTTTCTTCAAATGGAATTTTATGATGTACATCACTTTCTATAATTCATTTTGTTGTTACTTATACGTAATCACTTCTACAATTCATTTTGTTGTTACTTATACGTAATTGGTAAATTCACACCTCTTTGGGTGCTTCCGTGACTGGACTTGTCATGAGGCAGAAAATTTTATAATTTTGACCGCCAAACCGCGGAATTATCTTTAATTTGCACATGTCGAACATACCAGTTTGCAAGAGAACAGGCTTCGAGCCAATGATGGGAAATCTTAATGCAATTAGTATTGTTTGCACCCCGTTTACACTTGGTTTGTAGGCTGAGGAGGACCATTAAGGCCTTTGATTTAGTTATCCTCAGTGTAGGCAATAAAGTGTTTATGTGAACGCTACGTGTCTCAGGCCAGAGAACTGCGTTGATTTGGGATTATTTTATTATGTGAACGCTACGTGTCTCAGGCCAGAGAACTGCGTTGATTTGTTTTTATTATGTAACGCTACGTGTCTCAGGCCAGAGAACTGCGTTGATTTGTTTTTATTATGTGAACGCTACGTGTCTCAGGCCAGAGAACTGCGTTGATTTGGTTTTATTTTATTATGTGAACGCTACGTGTCTCAGGCCAGAGAACTGCGTTGATTTGTTTGATCTAAATTGGGGGCATTTTAATGCAATTAGTATTTACACCCCGTTTACACTTTGCTTGTAGCGGAGGATGACCATTAAGGCATTTGCTTAGTTATCCTCAGTTTTAGGCAATAAAGTGTTTATGCGAACGCTACGTGTCTCAGGCCAGAGAACTGCGTCGAGTTGTTTGTATTATTTGAACGCTACGTGTCTCGGGCCAGAGAACGGCTGTTCATTGTGAAGTTAACACACTATTTTAATTTGAATTATTTGTTATACCACAAGTCTAATGACGATGGAAAGTTTCTATATTACAACTAATAAATACCATGGCCAATTGCAAAACTAGTTGTCTATGTCCTTATTCTTTGTTCCAGGTGGATAGAACAATAATACGTATTTAACTACACTGTATATATGTATAACAAATAACAACATGTGAATTCATGTTAGGGAAAATCATAATAAGACAACTTTTTCAAACGTAAGCAATTACACTTCATTACATTTACGCTACAAATGACCAACTACCATACACCACATTAATGATAATGATAACTATTTTACAATACAGGGAAGTATACTTCATGCATGAACAAATGAAAGTAAGGCAGTGTCCTTGCTATCATCAATCTTGAATTAAACAAACATACATTCCAGAAAGAATTCACACTCTACCACACGGAATCTATTTATCTAGTATTTGTGATAAATCTTAACAGCATATATCGGAACAAATAAACCAAAAATGAAAAAGAAATATAATCATTTCTCCAAGCGGTTTTACTCCAACTTATAAAACTTCCATTTTTGTATATACATCGAAATTCAAAGACACAATGGTATGAGCATTTTACTATATTTGTATGTACCTATGTATTTTTTAATATTTTACAGACATCGTTTTACAGTATATACAGCAGACAGTAGTATAGTTCGGATATATTCGTAATATCAACCGATAAGATACGGATATTAAAATATGAAGAGTTTGAAATAGACGGATAAAAAAGGGGAACTTGAAGAGAGAATTATTGCTGCTTTTAGTCGTGACCGAGTGGATATATCACCTGACCGTGGGATCAAAAGGTCCGCGGTTCAAGTCCCGCCGCGGCAGCAATGTACTTTGGCAAGATATTGATCTACATTTGCCACACTCGACCCAGGTGAGGTAAATGGTTGTCTGGAAGGATTATTCCTTGAAATGCACTATGCGATGATAACGACTGCCGGAGCTACAGTTAGGGTAATACTTTCCAAAGCTCTTTGGAATTAGCGCATAGAGACGTTGTATGATGTGATATGCGCTACACAAGAACCGAATATTATTATTATATATTTTTATGGATCAAAATTCTCTTCAAACATTTTTTTCTCTCACTTTATTGGGATTAATATGAGGTTATGCTAATTATTAATATCAAAATAGTATTCTTTCACAAAAAGTGGTCAAACTCAAATGTATTGTATCGTATTGCTTCATTGATGTACATCAATATTCTGTTTAAAACATAAAAATCAATTCTGTTTATAGACATAGGCCTATATTTCATTTAAATCTGTTTACAATGTAATGTAACAAGTCAATATTCTGTTTGTAAAAATAATATCATATACATAAATTTACAATGCAGTGTATATAGAAAATTATATGAAGTAGAAACACTCTTTTTTCTTCTTGTAAAAACATGACATATTTATAATGCATAAAGTAAATGTACCATAATACATCCGAAGATTTAGATACATAAATCCTAATATGGCAATTTTCTAAATAAATTACAACTCATGTTATACAAAATAGGTAAAAATAAAGGCACATAACATGGAATGCCTAAAATAAATGACGTAGTAGTACTTATACATAATATATGCGACCTTCTGTAAACATACATGCAAACCTAAAAAATAAGATTGTAAGAATAAGAATGTAAATATTTGTTAATGATTGGTTTAGAGGCTGAAATGCTTTTTGAATACGAGAATATTGTTTCCATCGCAAGCAATCATTTTCATGGATGACGTCATCTTCACTCGAGACGTATAAAGTTGGTGCTTCCTGTGCTTTAATTCCAGTTTTGTTGATAGAGCGAATGATGCTACTCTTCTCTTCTTCATATCACTCTCACGCATCACGTGATCAATCACACACGTCTTGTACTTATTATCTGATGTCACGATGTAGAGGTCGTCTGTCTTAGGATCAACGCAGACATTCCAAATGACATCATTGTGGGGGATTTCCCTTTGAACACCCTCTCTGTCAATGATGAGCGCTCTGCGGCGATCTACTGACCAGGATTGAGCGATGATGTGACCTGACGACAGCATACCACACAACCTTATATCCTCTTTACACGTGATAGTATTGATAATCTTACCATCAGCTGGGTTGATGACGTATATCTCAGACTGATTCATCTCAGCAGCGATGATCATCCCATCCTTGTCAGCTGCAACATCCACCCATGTGGTACCAACCGTCGTGTTTCTTGGTATAGTGACGTCATTGATGAGCTTCCACTGTCTGTCATACACACCGATGCATCCTGTCAAACTGTCTCCTGTAATACCATTATACACTTTACCACATACTACCTTGTCATCATTCAGCACTGCACAGGATCCAACCCATAATGTACCACTACCTTCTACCACTCTCTGTATATGTTTAGTGTTGAGATCTAACATGTATATATGTCTACTACCTTTTATGTAATCTGCAATGATAGCATTGCATTCATCTATACATCCTACAATGTACGGGTATGTGGTTTCATTTCTTACATTGATTGTATCAACGAGCTTCCACTCCCTATCATACCCATCAATCATCACATCATACATCATCTACCTCCCAACACCCTTCACAAACCTCACACATGATACAACACGATTGATTTCTTTCACCTCACCCTCATTCAGTGGCTTTTTAAGTTCATCACTCACTGATGTATTCACACGATGCCCGTCTTTGACAATGTTTTGATCGTCTACGAGTACTGTGTCAAGTGTCTGGTTTGCATTCTCTGTAGTTTTTGTGTCATCTTGCCATGATTTCTCCAACTCGCCAATCTTTCTCTCGATCTCTTGAGCGATGTTCTGAATGTCAGCATAGAGATCGCGATGTTTATTATCTATTGGTTCTTGTCTTTTCTCTGCATTTGTTTTGTTTTCATCATGTCGCTTGTTTCTCTCCTCATTGTTCTTTCGAATCTCTTCTTTGAGTTTTTGGTTTTTCCCATCAATCTCCTGGTCGATTTTAGCAGCATCCTCCTGTTCCCTGACTTTGTCTCTTGCAATCGCCTTTTCTATTACGGAATCCACCTCATCTTTGATACTTTGCAGATGTTCGTCTGCGGATTGTCTACACTGACTAATGTGCTTTCCATGGACTCGACATAACTGTAACTTCTCCATCGCCTTTTCCTTCAGAATGTTGAGCTTTGCTTTATTGTCCATGATTGCATCATCTATATCCTGTCGCATGCACGGCTTTTCAACGTGATCTATCATAGCGCATGAAACACATAAAGCTACGCCATGTGTTTTGCAATACAAATCAATATCTTTACCATGTTTCTCACAATACAGATTAGGCCCACCCTTTCTTGGTCCGAAGCATTCCTTTTTGGAGGCGCAGTCATGGCAGAGCTTCTTCTTCTCCTTCACATAGAAAGTCAGATCTGTATTCGCCTTACACTCGTCTCCTTCACAGACGCCCTCTACAGAGCTCAATTCAGAAGCCATGCTGATCAGAGTATTGACCTGCAGATATAATTTAACCAGAAAACTTGTTTACTTCAAGAAAATAGAAGGGGATTAAGAAGAAGTAGAGGAAAAATAAGGAGAAGAAGGAAGAAGAGCAAAGAAAGAAGAAAAAGATAAAGAGGGGGATATATTACACACGTATCGCACGTGTATCAGGAGTATTTAATATCGAATGTTAATCACTTTACAAACAAAATAAAAAATCTTGAACTTTGAAAGAGGGTGTTATTTATAATCTCCTGTTTTTTTTTACAAAACGAGGTATGATAACAATCATATTTGCAGAGCTTGAAGGTAGAACTAAGAAAAGTGCTGGGCCCTAGGGTAAATACAATTTTATCATACACCATTTTAAAGATGTCTGTATATTGTCTTTAAAAAGTCCCCTTAGAAATTTCGCTATAACGTCACAACACATCAAGCATTTAAGCGCGCAGTTTCCGGTTATGCGGTGGTCACAACCCGCCGTACTTGCCAGTGCGTGCTGTCTACGTGCCAAAACGTGGGCAAAATTTGGGTATCCGTACGTGGTGAGTACCGCCTCCGTACGGATTTGGGAGCATGCAGACACACCGTAGCACTTTTAGTGCACGAGGAACTTTCGCTGCGTTCGGGCTGCGTTCGGTCTACCGATTTACCCCCAGTGCGTGTGACGTGCGTTGCCGGTACTCCCCACTGACATCTACACCCTTTGCCACTCCCTCCTTACGTTTTCAGAAAAACGTGGCGGCCGTGGCCTCCCCAAAAACCGTACGGACTAAAAACACGCACGGTCGGTTGTGACCAACGCTTTACACATAACACGCCATGCAGCGTCTTCCTAGGCCTTTATGAATGGACACAATTTCGCAACACTCTTAGGGTAATGGCGCTATATATAGAGTTCTTTGCATGTTATAGTAGTTCTAAAAAAATACACCTATTTTAGGGAGTTTTTAAAGTTATGGTTGCTCAGTGGTTCTTTTAAGAATTCCAATATGGGAAAGAGATTCTTTTAGGGGTACCTATTAGTACGTAAAATGAAATTGATAAACACGTGCAAATAAATGATGGACAAATATTGTGTATATATCCTGGTTTAGGGGGAAAATTATCTTTCAAAATTAATTTCTTTGTTTCTAAATGATTCTTTCAGAATAAAAACGAATATGACTTTAACCCTAAAAAGGCTGGGCTATTTGAGGTCTTAGTACGGCCGGGGGGGGGGGGGGCATTATGGCCCCCCCCCTTAAGATCTCGGCCGCTATCGCCGCGAAAATTTGCGCAAATCGTGGAGGGGGGGGGGGGCCATAATGCCCCCCCCCCCCGGCCTTATTAGGGTTAAATAATTTTGGTGCATTGCTATTGAAGAAAGTCAGTGATAAATTCCCTGAAGAACATTATCCCAAAGGTTCCACTAGGGGGTTCTTAATGTGGGGAAAGGTTTTGAATCGTTTCCCATGCCTTGAGCCATAATGCATGGCCGTCCAGAGGATTTTTTTATGTTGGGGACCGGGGTAAAATGCAATAAATTATTGAAAATTTATTGCATTTTCCGTGTTTTTTATTTTATTTATGGAAACTGCCCCCTACCCTAGCCCCCGCTGCGTACAGTCATGGTTTAGTGACAAAGCAATGGCCTCGTAACTGTGAGGCCCCAGGATCAACACCGTGTCGATGTGCTATATTAGTGCCCTTTTGTGGGGCATTAATCCTCATTACTGTCATTTATGACTTAAGGGCATAGGTCCCCTAGTTGATAAGCATAGTAGCATATACATACTTTAGCAGTCACGCAAAACACACATTGGCAAATTACTATTCAATAAAATCTGAGAATGTATACTATTATCTAGATCTATTATTTTTAAATTATTTTTAAAATAATTCCATAAATTAGGATTAAAAAAATATTCCACCTTTATGAGCGACAGTGTACATGAACAATTATTGTTGACGTAATTAAGCTGGATTGTTAACAATCGTTTGATAAATACTTTCAACCCCCCCCCCCAAAAAAAAAAAAAAATAATAATAACTTGTACTCGCTTTTTACACGTTTTCTTTGAATTATAGGGTTGCTTTGAATCCTGGACTGTTTCTGAGAACCATATTTATTTCAACTCGAAAATCTAGGAATTCAGATTATGGATATTGTTTGTACATCTGGTATGATTTCAGTTTTATTCAAAACATGTACTTTTAGAAGTGAGTTTGGCTAACACTACAGTTTCATAGGCATAGGTTTTATTCGCACTAAAAAGATTGCAGATATATGAATGTCTTCTTCAACAGAAGGAATAATTATTCCGCTGCGATTTGTTTTTTGTTTCATTCTTTGGGATACACATGCTGAAAAAGATAACGGGAGTTTGGAGATAGAGAGAGAGAGAGAGAGAGGAGAGGAGAAAGAAAGAAAGAAAGAGAAGGAAGAGAGAGAGAGAAGGAGAAAGAGAGAGAGAGAGAGGGGGGTGTCCACTACATATAACTTTCCTCTGAAGCCTCAATAAAAGAAAAAAATATGTACTTTTTCATTCCGCTTCATGCACATCAGAAAGTTGTATAACTCGCTTAAATTGTCTTCTGTTTGCCTTCAACGCTTACTCTCACAAACTTGTAAATAAACCCCATACTAGAGTCATAGTCTACCAATATACAGTCGTTTCTCCTCTTACATTTGTATCCTACTTTCGTGTTTGAAATTCCACATTATTCATATTCCTTCAAAGCAACACACAATATATATAACCCAATATTCACGTGTAAGCTGCTATTCTAACCTTTGTGATGTAAATTCCCAAATAAAGCTGACTACGTAGACACTCTTTCGATAATTAGAACGTTGTCCAAAGAAGAACAATCCATCAATATCTAAAGCTACAGTCCCATATATGTCCCGGACCGTCCCGGACCATCCCGGACCCCATCCGGGGTGATCCGGGATTCGGTCCGTGTTGACACCGTGTTGGCACCGGGGTGGTCCTGGATGGTCCTGGATGGTCCTGGATGGTCCTGGATGGTCCTGGGCGGTCCGGGAGTCGACCCCGGATGTTTTTGACGGTCAAAAACTGCCGGGGTGGTCCGGGACGGTCCGGGACAATAGTTTGATCCGGGGTGATCCGTGTAGCCACCGTGCTGGGTCCGGGGTCATCCATAGTGGCGCCGGGGCGGTCCGTGTTGATCCGTGGCAGTCCGGGAGTGAGTTATTGACCACCCAGGACCATCCAGGACCATCCAGGACCATCCAGGACCATCCAGGACCACCCCGGTGCCAACACGGTGTCAACACGGACCGAATCCCGGATCACCCCGGATGGGGTCCGGGATGGTCCGGGACGGTCCGGGACGTATATGGGACTGTAGCTTAAAGCATCACACTTTTTTGAACAAAACATCCCGGACCATCCCGGATCACCCCAGACCATGGTCCGGGATGGTCCGGAGTGGTCCGTGCTCGTCCGTGCTGGTCCGGCTTTATATGGGACTGGGGCTTAAGCTACAGTCCCATATACGTCCCGGACCGTCCCGGACCATCCCGGACCCCATCCGGGGTGATCCGGGATTCGGTCCGTGTTGACACCGTGTTGGCACCGGGGTGGTCCTGGATGGTCCTGGATGGTCCTGGGCGGTCCGGGAGTCGACCCCGGATGTTTTTGACGGTCAAAAACTGCCGGGGTGGTCCGGGACGGTCCGGGACAATAGTTTGATCCGGGGTGATCCGTGTAGCCACCGTGCTGGGTCCGGGGTCATCCGTAGTGGCGCCGGGGCGGTCCGTGTTGATCCGTGGCAGTCCGGGAGTGAGTTATTGACCGCCAAGGACCATCCAGGACCATCCAGGACCATCCAGGACCATCCAGGACCACCCCGGTGCCAACACGGTGTCAACACGGACCGAATCCCGGATCACCCCGGATGGGGTCCGGGATGGTCCGGGACGGTCCGGGACATATATGGGACTGTAGCTTAAAAGCATCACACTTTTTTTGAACAAAACATCCCGGACCATCCCGGATCACCCCAGACCATGGTCCGGGATGGTCCGGAGTGGTCCGTGCTCGTCCGTGCTGGTCCGGCTTTATATGGGACTGGGGCTTAACCGTAATGTGTGCGTCAGATGCAATCAAAATGGCGTTTGGTCCAACTTTTGCTACTGCACCTTTTGAAATTCATCACCTTTCAGGGGCAGTGGCGTAATGAGCAAAAACGTTTGGGGGAGTATAACAACAATCTGCATCACCACCACTCTTACATGTTACATTGAGACCCTGCGGAACGTTTTCAAAGTGGAGTATTAACGATCAGGTAGAGCATGCTGGGCGAAGGGAGTGGAGCGTAAATTGGCGTGGGGTCCAGGGGCTTTGCCCTGGCGGGCGGTCAAGGCGCGGAGCACCCGGAAGCTCAGGGGTTTTAGGCATTAAATTACGGTCAGATGAGCATCCAGGGGCCTGCCTTAGGGCCCTTGGTGGGGTCCAGGGGGCAGAACCCCCAGAAGCTCAGGGTTTTTAAGGTATTCAATTACGGTCAGATGAGCATGTTGTGATACCTCATTTGTGACACTGGCAGGTCATTCATTCTTTCTTTCTCTCTTTCTTTCTTTTTCTTTTTAACATACTTTTTCAAAAAAGTGATGGGGGAGGGGGCTCGAGCCCCCCAAGTCCCACATTTCTGCAGACCCTGACATGAAGGCTTCTAAATAAGCATATTTTTTGCCTGACTGTAAATTTGGGAATTTGTAATTTTCCAACAAACGCATACAAAAAAACAATTGAGAACAATTCTCAGAAAATCATTTAATTTTAGCAACATTTGTAAATCACTGGTATCGAAATAGAAATAAGCCACGGTTAAATTTCATTTGGCCCCCAACTGTACGCCAGTGTCCAGGGGCTCATGTCTTCTCACCCCTATAATAAACCAAACACACACGCCATCCTCTCACAATATTTCCACGATATGCGCGTATCCCTTTTATAAAATCCTCTATTGATAAATATAAGGGC